CCATCCCCGGCCGGCCATGCCCTCGCCGCCGCCCGCCCTGCCCTGGCTGCTGGCCGCCTGCTGCCTCTGCGCCCTCCCGCGGGGCTCAGGTACGTCCCGGCACCGGCTGGCGGGGGCAAGGCGAGAGAACGGGAAAGGATCGGCTCCTCTAGAGGAGCCAGGTCCTGGCTGGGCTCCGCGGCGTCCCAACACACCCGTGTCCCGTCCCGCAGGCTTCCCGCAGCCTTTCTCGCGGCACCGGGACGGTGCGGAGCTGCCCCCAAACCAGGTACGTCTGTCACTGTCCTTGCCTGGCAGCCACGCGAGGTGGAGAGGTAGGGCAGAGACGGGGCAGGTGGGAAACGAGGCTCGGCTGTGGCAGGGAAATAAGGCAGCAAACCGGCTGGCAATGCCTTACTCAATAGCCGGGGGGTTGGTACAGAGAGGAGGGAGGCTGGCGCCCTTTGCCGCCCGCAGCCGCAGGTGGAACAGGTATGGGCAGGGCTGCGGAGCAGCAGGGTGCAGAATAGGACACCCGGCTCAGCAAAACACGGACGGGCTAGTCACAAACCAGTCCCGACTTCCCGAGCAAAAACACAGGTACGAAGGCATGATGGACGCACTGTTAATATCTATTCTTTACTTTTTGAAGCAACTGGCACTGTGTTTCAGTCAGTGGAAGGAAATGTCCGATCAACCCCAGGTAATCTGACTCATGTAATGTGTTTGATCTGCTGAGACTCTCTCTTCCAGACATACTATTTGTGCTGTATAACCTGGAGCATCGGTGTCTGCAGGTGGCAGAGCCTCCGCCAGAGAGCCAGCAGCTCCAGAGAGCAGAGCAAGTTTGTTAGTGTATGTGCTCTCCTCCATGTGAAGCTAATGCAGACCTAAAGAAAAGCACTTTTTGTCCTTTCTTGCCATGGCAGGAGTAGCTAACACCGAAGCAAGAAGTGCCGGACAGTTCTGCAGGGTTTAAAGTTCCTGTTTGGTCCTGTTTCGGTGCTTAGTCAGTGGATGGGTTTTTTCTGGGGTGCTCAGAGGAGAGTGGAGCAAGGGGAAGTTTCCACAGATCATTTCTGCTGGCCCAAGGCTTACAAACATTTTAAAAGAAAAAATCAGTATGTGAAAGATCAGCTGCACTGCATTTAATATCAAGCCCAAAGATAATTTTCAAAGCAGTGAGAAAACATTTACAGAATCAGGCAGTACTTAGATATTTGGAACATTTTGTGTGGATTTTTTTCTTTCTGAAATGTTACAGTTTTGTGAACCAAACCTTACAGAAAACAGTTCCTGGAGCCTGTTTCTCAGGTGTCTTACCCCTCACTTCCTTTGAAGCTGTAGTTATCATCTAATGTGATTGCATGTATAAGCAAATCCTTGTCCTGTGGCAATGAGCATGGGAGAGTGTATTTCACTGTATGATAAAGATTATAGGATTGATTGACTGAAAGGTATGCAGGTGAAAATGAGCACAGATTAAACATGCCTTAAAACAAAGCTATCTCTAGAACAACTAGCAGGAAAAAAAATATTTTAAGTATAGGAGGTTGATTTCGATCTCTATAGCATCAGACTGTATTGACAACTGTTGTATTGTGTGTATTCTCTTCAAACAAGTAATTCTTCAGCTTATAACAGCATCAATAAGTTTTCCCTTGCTCTGAGTGTTTTTAGTGAATTGTGTTCAATCTTAATTGATCTGGGATCAGAATCAAGCCTGTTTTCTATCAGACCATGCACATCACGTTACCCCAGTAAATTTATTTAAATATTGTTTGGTTGGGGTTTTTTTTCAGATCTCCAGCACCGTATTGGATCTCTGTTATTCCATATTCAACAGCATGCATAAAAATGAGGTAAGGTGTAATTGATTGTTTTGTTTCAAAGCACCCCCTTCTTAAACTTAGAAAGCAACCACTCCATGACCAGCTTCCTGATATTTCTCTCCAAACAATAATGTATAATCTAATATTGTAATGGTTTAAGAAATGTAGGAGGGTATATAAAAGATTTTCTTCTTGTTAGTAATTTGCACATAATTCTTAGTTACTTTAAATTATTTATATGAAACTCCTTCTTTTCTCCAATTCAGAGCTCAAGAACCAAAACATTCACTTGCAGTCAGTCAGTATTTTAAACTGACCCTCAGTTGGGAATAACATAGGGTTAAATACACTAAAAATATACATAACATTGGATCAATAGCATACTTTAGATTATGCTGAACACGGAGATGTATGAGTTGCTTTACTGGTTTTAATACTCTGTTTTCATTTGGTTTTTGGGAGATTTTTTGTGTTCTTGACTCAGAGTAAAGAGATTAAGTTGAGGAGTTATTGAGCTCTTCTTTGTTGGTGCAGTCATATAGGGACCCACCTCAATGTCAGTTCTGCTTTATACTACTTTATTATCACCATTTCATTAGGAACCTTTTCCATAAAATTCACTCAGCCCCTGGGTATATGCTGAAAAGGCCAATTTATTTGTGGAGGCCGATCCTCTGTTGTTTCAAAACAGGAGTAGATCCTTCAAGACAATATTAGAGAGTATTTTGAAATGCATTTCAATATCACTTCTTGCCAGTGTCCTTAGCTTATTATAATCCCAAGCATGCTTTCCCAAAGCAGCCACGAAACTCTACAATACTGAAGCTGATTGTATAAAAAAATCCTAGCAGTTCAGTTGTAAATGTTTAATAAATGTTTTTGAGTTCACTATTGACTCTTATGCTTCCACAGCTTAGCCAATGAGAGAACATACAGAATCATCTGGCAACGTTGAACAGAGTCCTATTCCTGGTTACTATTTCAGTTACTAACTTTGCAAAAAATTATATGTCCTCAAGATTGGAAGCTGAATCTCATACAATATCCTTTCAAAAATATGAGCTTCACATCTGCAATATGATTTCTAGGTGTGGTCTGAGTAAAGAAGCAGATAAAATAAATATGTGAAATATGGAAAAGGAACTATGTGAAGTTTTATCCAGCTGATCAAATCTCATATTACATGAAGTCCTACTTTCTTAGCCCACAAGGAATCTTGAGAAGATACTACAAATATGAATCTGTATGTAGTGAACCAAATGATACAGTTAGGAAATTCTGCTGATGTCAGCTGAATTTAACTTTCTACATGATCCTATATTTCTGTGAATAAAAAACCCCACATTGAGTCAGAGTTACAGATCCTACAGAGAAGGTAGATGATGGCTTAAGAGAAGGAATGAGGCCTTACCACTGTGAAAGGCAAAGTCCATGGCAATTCCAGCTTGAATGGGGGACTCGACACCCATGTGCGGAATTTAAAATATTTTGTGAGAACTAAGAATATTTAACATCAATGTCCAATCACTTCACTGTGTGTTCGAAATTTCCATCCCAAAGATATTTAATATCAGAACAAAGGAAGCATTCATATTATCTCTCTGTAGTAGTCTCCTCCTTGGCTGAGCAAGCATTTTTGTCTTCCCTAGTATTTCATAGCCCTGAAAGGTGATGTCAGTTGCTCTATAAATTGTTGTCTTGCAGCTTGAACCACAGAAATCCTCTTCTCATACCCTGAGCCAGGATTGTCTATTTCTTGCTTATGTATTTTGTCTTTTAAAATTCCTTCTCTGCAGTACCCCATCCGCATGCTTTCCTGTGTTCTCACCCCATCTTCACATTCTTTCCCCTTACATGTGCTTGTTTTTCAAGCCCACTCCAGGTAACTAAACCCACTCACTGTTACAGCTGTGGCTGTGGCACACGGCAATCCCATTCCTGGTTGCCTGGGAGCATACAGCCTGGCAGCTGTGTCATGTGCAGGAGGGCTTCCAAACCAGGCTGAGGGTCCAGGGCCGCATCACATGTTAAACTTAGTCTGCTCACATAAAGTCATGGGGAAAATTCCTATTCCTTGAAGTAAGGCTGAGTAGAAAAACAAGCAATTTTCTGAAGAATAAAGAGTGCAGAGAAAGGCTTAAACCCAGCAATCTTTCCTGAGTTGGAACCAAGGGCAGTCTGAAAGGTGAAGAGCAGCCCGATTTTAACAAGGTAAAAGCTCTCAGTACAATTCAAGCCTGAGGAGTGGAGCTCCAGGCTGAGCTCTGCTTCACCCCCCAGAGCACGGCTGCACTTTGCTGTACAGCAGGGAAGCCTGTTGAATGATGGTAATGAACAGAGTAGCTTCCAGGCAAGGCTTCACATCAGTCTTAAAAAGATCAGTTTGCTGCTGTTCTTACATCTGTCTGTGATCAGTGTAAGGTTTTCTCTCTTCTCACATGGACTGTGCCAACCTCATCAGTAACAGAGGGTCACTGTAACAAACCAAAACATGTCGGCAACTTGATTAACTTACAGTGTCCACTTGCAGGAATCACAGATTGCTTCTGCAAAGTTTACAAAGAAGGTATGTAAATATGAAGACTAGCAGTGGATAGGGAAGTATGTCCCTTTCCTTGTTTCTTTTACAGTCAGCTTGGGTTTTTTTCAGTGGTTGGGAAGTGATCTGTGCTGACCCAGCTTAGACCCTACATGTAAAGCTTTCTTTTATATCTCTTCTAAACCCTATGAATCTTTAATTGTGGTAATTAGTTTATTTACACTAGACACAATGTCCTTCAGGCATTAATTAATGATTAAAAAATCAGCATTCCAGATGAATGGGCATTGGGGACTGTCAACATATTGTTTGCATGCTGCTGAAAAAGGCCCCAAATTTCCGATATTCTGATAGAATGGTAAAATTTGGCAACAGATCTATGGAACTGAGTTTAAAGTCTTTTGTTACTGTTTGTGTTTGATTTTATAGGACAGTCATGGACCTCTGGGGCGGCCTTTCTTCCTTTTCAGGGTATCTGAATCTCTTAATTTTAAAGATTCTGAATCTCAGACATTGTTATATGTTCACAGATGAGCAGCTGTTTCACAAATTCTTGCTGCAGTTGTTTAGAATAGAGGCCAAATATCCCTTACTTGAAAGCTTAGGGAGCCATTTGTTCAAAAAGCTCTGGTTTGACTAAAAGATGACAAGATAATGAGATCTAGAGTACTGGTGGATTAAACACTTCTTTTTGTTTGAAGATATGCCTCTGCAAATGTTTTATCTTGAGCCAAATCATCCATGTGGCTTGTATCTCTGAGACTGTCAAGGTGCAGTGGTGCCAAGTAAATTAGATCAAACATGTTCCTGAGCTGAGTGTCCACCTGGTCTGGGAGGTCTGCCCAGGAAGCCAAGTCACAAGGTATAACAGTGAAAAGACAAAGCAAAATTCTCATAATTTCTCTCACATTTTTCACCCACTGGCTTGCTGAGCTATGACATGGTCTAATGCCCAGTGTGCTGGTTTAGACACACTCTGATTAACACCAAACTCATTTTTAGGAATATCTTTAACACGTTTGAAAAAAAAAGAATTAAAAATACTGTAAAGTAGGTTACATCAGGTAACCAGAGCACCAATTCAGCTGTCATTTATGCTTTATTTCAAGTTATTTGTTATTTCAAGTGTGTCCATCTAGGTTGTTTCAGTGATGGTATTTACATGCTCTTTCTTAGACATGTGCCTATACTACCCCTATTAATTTAGACCTGAATCCTGAATGAGAATAATTAAAGCCAGAATGTTTAGCTTTTTGGGCAGAGGCTGAATGAAAACTTTTCATGTTCAAAGGCATAACCCATCCTGCATGGATTCCCCTGGTATTTACATTTTCAAGAAAATCTCACTGCAGTTTTATTCAGTACACTGTCTGCATGATGGGGATGTATTTTGGTGTGCTTATAAGTCTGTCATCCATTGCTTCTTTACAATCATCTAATTATGTTTTTCAGCCTCGAAATGGAAGAACTATTGAAGGCAGTGGTAAGTAGGCAACCAAAAGTGTCAGGAATTTCTTCTGCCTTTTCACTAACGATGAACCTCATGACAAAAAAAAGGTACTGAGAAGCATTACAAACCTAGATACATTTCGTATGGCCACTAAGAGTTGTTTTGACAAAAATGTAGAGTTTATTCATGCTCAGAGACTTAGAGTGCACACCCTTGACAGAGGGATGGTTTTCCTTGTCATGCTTCCATACTCTAAAATAAGGTTAGCAAGTTTACAACATGTTAGAAGGAGAACTGTGTGAGAAGAAAGAATTCATGTTTGAGTACAAATTGTGTAAAAACCAGATTTGTGTGCTTTTCTAAACTTTCAAATATCTAAATCTTCTGATTTTAGAATCTGAAGCTATTTAATTTCTAACTTTGAAAATAATTAGATGTACAGAACTAAGTCATATTTAGATCAGCATCTCAACATAAAATATGATACTGTGTTAATTTGTTTCAGAATACCGTGGAATGTGAAGTTCATGGATTCATTTACCAGCACGATGACTTGGTTTACATAAAGGAAAGAGACTTCCCATTGCACTGGTTGTCTATTATGTGACTCAGTTGTCTAGAATTTGCTGTTCCATGTAATAAATTTGCAATCAATAATGCTTTTAGTTGTCCTTTTTTTAATTAAGCCCATACTAAGCTTCCTTGGGCTATAGTGTAACATTGCCTGGTGCCAGCTGTAATCAAAGGAAGTCAGTCATCTCAATATCGACAATTTTCAAATGCAACAGTGAATTTTATAACATCTTCTCTAATAGGGTCATAAATTATAAGCTTGTCATTTTTACTAGATAATATATTTCCCCATTTTTTCAGAATAGGCATCCTGAACAACTCTATACTAAAATCATCACAGACATTTCAATGATTTATTTTGCGTAACTAAGTGCCTGAGTGTGATAATTGATGAATCCAAAGCACTTCGATAGAAGAGGAACAAGTACTGCTGCTACATACAGATGTTATTTGATCAGATGATGTATTTTTTTTTCAGCCTTGCCTTACTGGCTATCATAAAGCACAAAGGAGGCACTTTTGAGAAATATTCTGAGTATCTGCCCTTTTTTTCTGAAATCATGCATTTGAAAATGTATGCAGCTGATTATGCTTGCACCGTATGGAGTGTTTTGGTATGTGGAAACATTTACAGGCACAAAACTTTAAGTACTAAGCAGTTACTTCCTTAGGAAGAAAGGAGCATAGTAAAATTGAGGATCTGGGGATATAAATGAGGCTGCAATTCCTGACCATAGCATTGATTTCCTCAAGCCCTTTATAATCCTCCTTCTCTTTGGCTACTATGGCACAGTACAGTCTCCGTTATGCTGGCACAGCTGCATGCGAAGCAGATTTGGAGACACCTTTGTCTCTAAAAACAAACCCCAAGATATCTGTATTTTGCTGTTTTGTGGGATTTTTTATGGGGTTTTATCTGGACAAGTTCCCAGTTTGGGTTGTGTTAACAGAAGTTTGGCTGGCAGTCAGAGGGAAGGGATGAGTTGTTTGGCAACTGTTGACTGCCCCTAAGGCAGAGTATTCAGTTTGGAGCCTCAGAATACAGGAAGGCCATGGAAAAAGTGGAGAGAGGGCCTCCAAAGTGGCAAGAACTTTATTATCACTTGCCTCTGATGAGATGCAAGGGCAGCTGGGCTGGTTCAGCCTGGAGGAGGGATGCCTGCAGGGGAGTCCAATAGCCCCTCCAGTGCATATGAGGGTCATCAAGGAGACAGCTGTTGTTCAGTGTGTTGTCAAATCCCATAGACAATTATTAGCCCTTGGAAAGAGTACCAAAGGGATGCTGGCTCCTCTGGCTTCTCAGTTATCTGGAACCAGTTAGGATGTCCCTCTGGAAGGAACAACTAAGCCAAATACAAGTGGTGGGGATGCACTGTGGCAATGCAAATAAAAGATAATGATTACAAAACATTGTGATGGCGCTTCCAGCTTGTTTCATCTCAGAGTAAAGCTGCAAAGTATCAAATTTTGCTCAGATCTGCATCAATATTTGGACTGGTAGTGGCTGGGTTAGAGTTAATAGTCTTCATAGCAGCTTTTATGGTGCTGTGTTTTTGATCTGTGACCAAAACAGTGTTGATAACACAGGGATATTTTAGTTATTGCTGAGCTCGGCTTGCACAATCTCAAGACCTGTTTCCCACCCCACCAGTGAGGGGGCTGGGGGTGCACAAGGAGTTGGGAGGTGACACAGCTGAGATAACTGATGTGTCTGTGGAAATGTGCCAAAGGGATATGCCACACTATATGCTGTCATGCTCTGCAGTAAAAGATGGGGAGGAGAAAGGGACACGTACACACGCACACCTCTTCAGAGTGATGGTGTTTGTCTTTCCAAGTCACAATTAGGCGTGACAGAGCCTGGCTTTCCTGGAGATGGCTGAACACCTGCCTGCTGCTGTAAAGCAGTGAATGAATTCCTTGTTCTGCTTTGCTTTACCTATTAGACTATCTTTATCTCAGCCCAAGGCTTTGCTCACTTTTACCCTTTCAATTCTCTCCCCATCCTGCTGGGGAAAGTAAACAAGATGGCTGAGGTTAAACTGAAGCAGTACTGTACCATAGACAACTCATGCTGTGCTCTCACAGTCAGCAAAGGCTTCCTTCTCTCACAGGTTTCAAGAATAACATCTATTTGGGCCTTGAAACTTAAATAAGGTTGATAAATAAGGGGTAATCTGCAGGTGAGAACCTATCTTAGGTTCCTCAGTCATATCTGCAAGAAGCACAGAGGAGCTCTTGTTCATTTCAAAGTGGAAATTTTTACTCTCTGAAACAATTAAAATGTCACTTGTGAAACAGGACAAATTAATAATATGGAAATCAAAGGTCATCTCTGGCCTGAAACTGTTTCTGAATATCCCACTGTAAAACTCACAGCAGAAATTCAGGAGTGCAGACACAGGTGGTAACAACAATTAGAAGCACAGAAATATTTTTGCAAGAAAAAGAGGTGAAAATTCATTTCTCACTGTCAGGCAGAGACAAATCAGGAGTTTCATGACAAAGTATACAAAGTACTGAGTGTGTTTAGAAAAGTAAATTGGGTCCTTATCCATCCTCAAGTCATAAAAAGCAGCAAGGAGGGACACTCAATTACACTGAGAAGCAACATGTTTCAGCTGCAAAGGAGAAATTTTTTTGTAGCACTTCAGTAACTCCTGAAACCAGTTGCCACAACTTAGAGCATGTGGTTAAGGACAGCCCAGTGGACTTTTGGAAAGGCAGGAATGTTCAGGAGTGCACACCTTTGTGCTGCCTAACTTGACTCAAAAATCACTTCAGGCTGGCCCAGGACCTTAAAAGCCTGGCCTGCTGGAGCTGGGCTCAGCAAGGCACTGCTCAGCAGAGTGCACAGCGAGGGACCTGGAAATGCACTCATCTGCAGGGGAGCAAGTACTGCCCAGCCTCACAAAAAGCTGCTCACCAAGGAGACAGAGCACGAAGCACAAGAGGAAAACCTTCTTGGTGTTCTACTTCCCTCTCTCTGGTCCCTTCGTGATCTTGTGCCTTGGACAGCCTCTCTCCCTCCTCAGCTCCCACAGGGAAAAGCTCACTTACCAAATCCTCAGGTGATGGCAAGCTGGGAGGGATGGCAACACTGCAGGACAGAGTCAGCATTCAGAATGATCTCGCCAAAGATACATACGTAAAAAAATATGTACAGCTCACTGAAGATGAAAGGAAGTTATTATTGCACATAGTTAAGAGTAATCAATAGCAGCTTTGCAGCAAAGGGGATGAGTAACTGTAGATGGTCAAATATAGTGCTGAGGAGAACACAAAAATGCAATGTGGAATGAAGAAGAAACTGTAGAGACTGTTACGTGGGAGGTGTTGCACTGGTGAATATAGGTAAGGCTTCATGTACAGAGCAATGCGGGAGAAGAAAGAGGGGAACAACCAGCAAAGAGGAAAGGCAGAGGTCAAGGAAAGTTGGAACTCTGAATGAAGTGGGGTTGATTTGAAAGAAGGGAAGTGTGTGAGGAATGACAAAATGCTTCATTTTAAAATCCCCATTGCTGTCAGTATTCATCAGTGCCTGTGTTTACTTATTTGCTGGGATTTTAGAGTCGAGCAGTGATCCCAGGATATCTACTGATTGCTTATGTGGACATCACTCTTAAGATTTACTTACCTGTTCCAGACAACTCCCACATTGCAATTGCCATCCCTCTACCTTTCTAAACAGGATAGAAACATATCTTTGAATGGGCTGGACTACATAAGCTATCTTTATCACTCTGATAGATTTCTGCACTGAACAACTAGAAGGAGCTACTAAGTCTCCTTCAGTCATTTCTGGATCAACTTTTTTCCAACAAAATCAAAAATGTGACTGATCTTATAGCAGGTTATAATTCACCACCTAAAATTTTGACATTTCTCTGTACACCAAACACCATCTCCCTACTAGCCTTCAATCTGCTGAAAGATCAATAGAGGAAGCAGTGAAAGATGCATACACATAAATACAGGCTTCTGGAGTACAGCTGTCTAAATATCAAACAGAAAAATACCTAAACATGGACTAGAACTTCCAGCAGAAAATGCAAAAATGTAGAACATGTGTGAACCAACCTCAGAGCACCCAGAGGCAATCATGTGTGATCCATCAGAAAAGAAGAAAAATTCAGGAACCTCATTCAGCATAGCACCAAGGCCATATTTCCTCTCATGACCCTGGTGTGAACTGATGTGCCAGAGCCACCTCCCCTGCTGGGCAGCATGACCTCTCCAGGAACTACACCAGAGACTCTGCTACGTGAAAAAACACCAAAAATAGTCTTTGATTATCAGTAGTCTTATACAACATCTTTTCCTTCATTTTCACAGCTCTGTATAGTTCCACAGACTACATATAATCTCAGATTATAACCCAAATCCACTACTCTGTGACGTTCAGAAGAGTGGCAATTGACTTCCAAGAGGACAATGGTGTTTAGGAATTGCATTATTGGGACCTGTCAGCAGAGGGCAAAGCCAGCATCAAATTTGGGATGTTCAAAGCAAATGCATTCTGGGTCCTACCCCTCTCAACCGTGTGCTGGGCTTGACCAGCTTGGGTAGTGAATGAGTTCAGACCTTGTGCATCCCTTGTGCTCACCAAGACAAGACTGTCTGAAGCTGTAACTTGGGGTGTTTCCTCTCCTTACAGAGAAAGTGAAGGTGACAGAACATATTAAGTTTATAAACACATAAATCTCAGTGCAGAGTGAACTACAAGCACTCTGTGCAACCGAGACATCCGTCAGCAGCATCCAGTCCTCTAGACAGGTAAAAGAGTTTTTCCAGGCATCATTTCACCCCCGTGCTGCCATCTGCCCACCAATTCATTGAATTGTGGAGTACCATGTACACACATTCCCTAATGGGTGTTATTGAAGACATCTATTTTCCTTGAGACCCCGGCACCATGGCATAACTGAGTTAGGAAAGTAACACCACATCAAGATAAATGTGTTTTGCAGCACCAGTGACAAGAGAGATGCCAGAGGAGCTATGTTTTGAGCGGGTTTTTTTGCTTTGATTTGTAACTAAGTCACATACCAGCCCAGCTACAAGTGACTGAGCTAAGTTGAAACCTATAGCATGAGACATGAGAACTAGTCATGTGCAAAAGTACCATGCAATTAATGCCTTGTTTCTTCAAAGTAAATGAGCACTTTTCTGATCAAGAGGACAAGCAAAATTATTTCTATTCTATTTGTAGTTTGAAGAGGCTCTTCTATACCGTATTACATGAAAGTTTTTATCATAATTTTATTAGAATAACCTGGGGGTATGATTTCCATACTTACCAAGCACTTTATTGAACTGGGGCTTACCCATGCGCATGAAGCTAAGCGTCTTCAATACTAAGATGACATCTTTCTATTTTCCCCTTTGTGAAAAAAGGGCATGCTTACTTAGCCTCAACATTTTCCTATGATACCCTGTGCCTTTCTGTTCAAAATCATCCAGAGCACCTATTAATCAACCTGGATACAACCCCAACTGTCCAAGGAAACCGCATGATCATTATCTGGATATTTGTCTCAACTTGTTCCAAATGCCTAGGTTTAGAACAAATGATGACATGAATGACCATAATAGACCAGTAATATTTGTTGAGAATTTACCTTATAATCAAATAAGACTTCATCCTTGAAAAAATTAATTTTCTGATTACATGAACGCATCATTATTTATCAGTGTAATTAGTGCTACTCCAGTAAATGTTTAAGTACTCAGCATATGTTTTGCAAAACTGGGTGCCAAAATTGAGTTCTGCATTTTTCCCCTCTCAGAGTGGAAACACCTGTAAGGAAAAAAAAAAAAACCAACCCCACAACAAAACAACTTTTCTCATTGTTCTACCCCCAGGTTTCTGAGGATCTGTAACTTCACTGCTGATGTGTTGTAAGGCAGCAGTAAAGTGCCATAACTGTGTTTATTTCCTCTTCAGCAGCAGAACATTTGATCTGTTGGTGGCCCCTGCCAGGGCTGGTTCAAAGCTTAATGAGCTGCATTAACTTTTAACAAGTGTTGTGGATGAAAGAATATGTCTAGAAAATATCAGTAGTGCTATTGAGTAAGAGGACAGCAGGTATAAATGCAGAGCCAGAACAGCCAGAAAGTATCCTGACAAGCTTTATAGTGTAAACAAAAGAGTATCACCCAGTTCTTCCTGCCACAAAGGAATTATTCTTTGCTTTATTCTATTGTGAAATGCTACCTCACACAAATTTTACATTTGCTTCCTGCAGACATTTATGCTGCTTTTTCCTTCATGGGCTGTATCTATCTCTCATTCTATTTTTACAGCATTTTCATCTCCAGTCTCACATTTCACAGTTTCTCACCACTTCAGAACTATTTCTTTCAACAACATCTTATGCTTGACCCTTCTTCCTCCTGTTGCCCCAGTACAGAGTGTCCTAATACAGAAGAAAAAGGCAGTGAATATGTTCTGAGGAAGAACATGCGATAAAGCAGACACCAGAGCAAGTTTCCTTTGAGAGGACCTGTTACTTGTTAATTATGGTCAAAGTTAAATGCCTCTGACTATGGAAGGGTAATTTTATTTATTTTTTTTCTTAAGAGATGCAAAAATTACTACTTAAAAAAATTAATGGAGCCACAGAGGAAGACCCATGGACTTTGGAAGGGAGAAGGAGGGTAGACGCCTTCTTATGTCCTTGATAACCTTGCACAATAGAAAAACATTGAATTTGTTATCTGTGTTAAGATGTTAAACCAAAAGAAGAAATGGCTCCACCAGTTCCTGCATGCTTTGCCCTGACAGAGACTTGGTGTAATGATGGAGCAGTCTAAAGAGAAGCAGATGCTTGCTACAGTTTTATGAGCAATAAGGCTTTAAAAGACACAGGGTTACTAACCTCTAAAGCAAAGCTAAACAACCTCTGAGGCACTGAACTAATTGCACCACAAATCTGTGCTAGATGGAAGAAAAGTTCACAGGAATAGCAGTGTGTGTCTTGACTCCTCTCCCTGCTTCACAACACTTACCTGCAACATGTTTTCATGAGTAAGCATGCACCAGACTTTTAAAAAAGTTATTCAGGTGCTAGGCTACTTTTAAAAATTTTCTCTGTTCTTTCATCCATGAGAAAAGGAGACCAGTGTTGCATTCTAGAAACTTTATTACATGCTTTAAAAATGCCTTAAAATTAGCAAGCAAAATACTTGACAAAGAAGTAAACACATACATATTAGCAGTGCTGAGTCCTATCATCCATAAGTGTGCAGAGCAGACCAGGAAAAGCAAGTTTCACTGGCTACCACCACCATATTCTTGAGAAGAAGAAACATTTCTACTGGTTTTCTTCGGAAGGAGCTGAGAAAGGATATTAGGCATAACCCCGCCTTGAGGAATGGTCACACAGGCAAAGAACTTGTTCAGCTCATCATCGTTTCTCACAGCCAGCTGAATGTGCCTGGGCAGGATCCTCGTCTTCTTGTTTTCACGTGCAGCATTCCCTGCCAGCTCCAGGACCTCTGCTGCCATGTACTCCATCACTGCAGCCAGGTAGATGGCAGCACCAGAACCAATCCTATGGGCATACTTCCCTCTTCGGAGCAGCCTGTAGATACGGCCCACGGGGAACTGCAGACCTGCCTTGGCTGATTTGCTTTTCTTTGATGCACTTCTAGGGTTGCCAGCCGCTACTTTTTTCTTTCCACGTCCAGACATTCTGACAGGCAAGAAGATAGAGGACTGGAGGTCTTCAAAGTACTTGGGCACTAATGGATAGCAAGAGGAGGTAACAGCAAGGTCAGTTCTGCTGCTCCACATCAAGGAGAAAGCTCATTCTTTTCTTGAGGAAAGAGCTTACCACACACCACAGGTCATCAAGAGAAGAGCTAAAATTTTAACTATTATTGCCCTTTTACAGACTGCCTTTTAGAAGAAGGGTCTCATTGCAAAATCTGTCAAGGGTTACTGAAGTTAGATACAAAGGGCTAAAAAGAAGAGAGGCTTTCCCTTGCTACTTGGAATGTATTTGGGACTAAGGTACAGCGGGTCTTCTTCAACCAGATTTTTCTTAAACACCACAACTGTTACCTCAAAGCTAACTTGAGACCTATCTCTTCTCTGAAGAGGAATCTGCATTACAATTTCTACTATCAAGTTACAACTTTGCTCCATTTGAAGTCTAAAACCAGAAAAATTCTTGCAGCCCACAGCTTGTTTATATATATGGATGTATTTATACCCAAAATACTCCAGGACATTCTCACACAGAGCATAAATTAATTCCCCAAGTGGTATTCTCTGGCTTCTGTGAGAATACTATTGGAGATCCTCTGCACTAGGAAAGGGATTAATTGATCTGGACAGCACAATGCAGTCCAGATCAATACAAAGAATACAAATTACCATCTACTTCCTCATGATGAAGAGAATTTAGCCCAGCTAGAATACTCTTACAATTGGAGTAGCAAAACTATTAATTTAAATAATGTTTCTAGTCTATAAGTAAATAGGACAGTTAACTTCCAGCACAGCTATTTTCAACATACAAGAACACCCATCACTACATTAGTGTGTAGGGTTTTTACAGAGAGGTTTAACTATTCAAAAAAAATTAGAATAAGCTTTGAGAAGAAGATGAAAAAAAGTAAAAACTTAAAAATCCCAGTCTCTAATAAAATCCAAATGAACCAAGCCCTCATACCTCTTTATCCCTATTACCAAACAATATTATTTCTGAATTACTCACAGTACAGTCATAGTGCAGAATAGATGCACAGTAACTTAATAACTTAAAAAATAACATGAAGCCCACAGCCCCAAATCTTCCACAATATGTTATAAATGAAAAATACACCACAGTACCTTCAAAAAATTCTTATTTTATCCTGGTCTACACCTTACTGCAACCTGCTATCAACCACAGGAAAACTATGTAACACTGCTATTTCTACCCCAGGTCCAGAGCCTTTTTATTAGCAACTTTGTCTCCTCATCAGTGGGTCACCTGGGTAATTAATGAGTAATTTACACACACAGTGTTTCCTTCACCTTCATCTAATTCCTGATTTGGGGCAAAATGAGGAAATACATTACAGCTGCTCAGAAGGAAATTCGCTGGGGTGTGGGGGAACAAGGCAGGCTGTCTCTAAGGGCTGAGCTCATAGTGAGACACTTCAGTCTCATTATGATACTGCCAGTTCTCACCCATTCTGGCTGGAGTATTTCTGTCTGTACACTATGTGTAAAAACAGTCCTCTCCTTCCTGCTGAAGCTTGATTAAAAAAAGGTATATAGGGAAAATGGGCTTTGTAAATATATTTTTAGTTGGGCGGGAGGGGGAAACTGTGTTTTGCTTTAGATGTGTCCTGGGCAGCTTGATTCACATTGTGTCTGAGCCCCACCAAGTGATGTGATGGGGCTGCTCCTAAGATTTAGGCTTCTGCCCCCTCTTCTGCTAACTAACTGTTGCAGATGGTGCTCAGGGTTTACTGTGGTTCTGATGCTGAGGGTGCTTGGCTGGTTACTCTTAGTTCACTTGGGCAAAAATCTCACCTCAGGCAAAGGAATATTTTTGAGCACTTTTTAAAGAAATGAGTGCTCCTGCTCATGCCCTTTCTGCGTTTGTTTTCTGGCATTCAAAGTAGTTTCCAACCAGCAACATACAAGATCCATGGGTGTGCACAATATTTCAGCCACAGAAGCTGACTATTTAAACCAGAGGGTACTCCTGGAATGCCAAGATCTGGCAAAATACTCAGACAACAAAACTGTCATGGACAGTTCAGCCTTTGGTTCTGCCTGCCAGACATCAGCTGTGGGTCAGAGCCTCACAGCACCTGTATTTGTGGCACTCACACACTTTTCCTACAAGGATGAGCATTTAGTCTAAGCTGGCTGAGCTTCCTGCCACCCCAGGGCATTGAACAACCAGTATGGGGTACTCTCTGCACGTTCAAATGCCCACCATGAAGACTGATGCCCTCTCAAAGCACAGCTGTCCATTTCTTCTAATTCAGAGGCAGAAAAGGTGGCTGTGCTTTCCCTTCAGTAACCCAGACTTAGCACAGGGAAAGTGGCCAACCCACTTCAGAATAACTGGCTGTTAATGGGTGCAATAAATGGAATTGATGTGTGCTAACTAAACTGTAACTATTTGGAAAGTTATTATTAGAAGCAATCAAAAGAATCAGCGTTACAAAGCAGATGTACCCCTCTGCAGATGTTACATGTTAGAATTGAGGTACAGGATGTAGTTTGGAAGATAAGTGATGTCCCAAGATGAAAACGGCCTTGAGATGGACAAAATTAGAACGACTTTAAGCATAGGGTCTAAAATTCATTAAATGTAAGACTAATTAGTAGACTTACATAACACAATGCTTAGTACACTCGTGCAAACCTGTGAGGTCATCCAGAGGACAGCGAGGATGAGTGTAAGCCTTCATCCAAAGACCACCAAAAGAAGACTGCAGACCTCCTAACAACAAGTGAGTCATGCACCGTGAAGGAAAGTGACATAAAGTAAAAAAAAAAATCAGAAAGAGGAGGAAACTTATGGGAAACATTAATGAATATGTATAACATATAGTAAATAAGCTTAGCTTGAAGTGCTTTGTTTTGTACGTGAGGCCGTGTGGGGAACCCCCTCTGTACCCCAGTCAGTTTTGTACATGAGGTAGGGTAACAAGCCCTCCCCATACCCAGGTAGGTTTTGCTTATGCTTTAATCATCACTAATTACTGGCAAATTATATCTATAAATTGTACTCTTTTTTTACTAAATTGTATTCTTTTATTAAATTGTATTCTTTTGTACCAAATTACTATTAAATTCACTAAATTGTATTCATTTTTAATTAAACTGTTACTAACTCAAAGGACCTAGTTGTCAAAATTCTAATTTCATTTATAACATGAGCTACCCATGATCTTATAACATACGGAAGTGGGGCTTCTAAATTTTCATTTCAGGCCCTTTTCAGAGCTGAGTCCTTCCTCCACATGCCCAAACACACTCTTAAGGCACGCTGGCAGGTTCTTTAGGGTTCTTTTATGGAGTCTGAGATCTGGGGGAGCATGGTGTCCATTGGGATAGAGTGTGAAAGGAGGTGAAGGGAGGCAGGAACAGGTCTCTCCCCTCTGCTATGTGCCTTTGAGAAGCAAGCTGAAAAGATCTGCCCATTCTTTGGAAGGGCAGGCCTAGGTGCCTGTTTGTACGGAATGGGATATGATCCCAAACAGATTTGGGTCACAGCATTCGACACACTTTTCAGTGTTTTCTGTGTGATACTTTAACACAGACTCAAAACTGAAATAAAAGTGTCTATCAAGAGACAAATTTCAGGCACTATCAGTTGGCTGTGATCCAATCATAACAATACTACAAGTACAGCTTATTACGCCTAATAAGAATAGATAATACAGGCTTGATTACTTATTTTATTTTATTTTATTTTATTTTATTTTATTTTATTTTATTTTATTTTATTTTATTCAGATCAGGGAAAGAAAATAAAGATAAACCAGTGGGGAAATAAAGCAGGGTATGAAATGGTAAGAGATAAAAAAAGGCTCAGTGAAGTGGATAGAAAAGTTACAGGGAATCACAGAAAAAGACTGGGAGAGACCACAGCGAGTGATCTGTCGAACCTCCCTGCTCAAGCATGGTTATTCTGTGTCAGGTTGGCTGGGGCTTGGAGCAACCTGCTTTGCTGGAAGGTGTCCCCGCCCACGGCAGGGGGATTTACGATCTTCAGGACGCCTTTCAGCCCAAGCCGTGTCGCGATCCCGTCCCCCGGCCCGTGCCGGGCCCATCCTTATTAGGCGGTGCGGGCAGCGCTGCTGG